TAGTCATCTTTTGGGAGTGTTTTCTATTTTCGAAAGGAGATACATTGATGCTAAGCGAGCAAAATTCCAATATGTTTCGCTTTATAATCAGCTACACACATGATGCAGTGAAAAAATGAATTGGATTTATTGCGTGAAATAAATGTATATATATATATCAATCTATATACATGTATATATTATGATAGTGTTATACTATTTAGAGCATTCTGCAATGGGACATAATCACAGTTGCTCACCTCCAAGAAATTGTCCCACCCATATAAAAACAAAATACAACAACTTCTCTATTCAGTATTATGATTTAGTTGATCATATTATTTTATTACAACAAGTAATCAAACATTCGGATAGTCTAACACAACCTGGACCGACATTAGATTATCTCATATATGAGATAATCTAATGTCAGTCCAGGTTGTGTTAGACTATCCGAATGTTTGATTACTTGTTGTAATAAAATAATATGATCAACTAAATCATAATACTGAATAGAGAAATTGTTGTATTTTGTTTTTATATGGATGGGATAATTTCTTGGAGGCACTGAGGAGTTTAAAAGTATATGATTTATAACTCCAACCATTTATAACTATTTTAAGTTTTAGTAAAAAATTTAAAATAGTTATAAATAGTTCGATTTATAAATCTCAACCCTGATTGAGATTGATAAATCGGGTTGAGATTTATAAATGAACATCGTCAGATTGCAGCTTTTTTATTCAGTCAATCTTTTATTTACGTCTTATACCGGCAAAATGAGCGTGTCTTCTTTTTTTCTTTCTTTCAAAGAACGAAAGTTTAGTAAGGACATGTTAGAAAATCTTCGTTTCTGTACATTTTCTTTTCCTCTTCGCATGCTTTATTATATTCGTTGTGCAAAAAAAAACCATGTTCGGCTTTATATTTCTTACTCTATATCATATAATAACAAAAAGGTACCCGATTTATAAATCAACTCAACTTTTAACTTTTCAAAATTACTTTTGAACTCTTCAGTGCTCGGAGGTGACTATTCTGCTAACAGATGTTTTAGATAATCTATACACATAATCATCCGTATAAAAGAGCGAACTACTGGCATAAAAAACGTAGCGTCGCTAAAAGTTGAATAACTGAAGGTATTGCATGATTACGAGAGATTAGATGTTGAAGATGATGTTTAATTTCGTCTAATAAATCTACTACTGCTAGTTTTGGAAACGGGCTAAAAATGGATTTTCTGTTATATATTCTGGCGGATTTGAATGATTAAATAAACAAGTTGCTTAAGGAAGCCTTCATCACAGGTTATGACTGAAGTGATATGAGAAATAATTGTTATGGTTATTCATTCAGATATAAATATTAGATAAGTATTCTGATTTTTCGATCGGAATAAAGAATGAGGTACTACGTTATCCTAAGCAGTCTCGAAACGAAAGAAAAATATCTTTTTTTTATTAAAGCTAGGACTTAGGTTTCCGTAAAGGTTTAGACACGAAAATTTCTGAGGAAAATCGGTTTGTCTGAATTAGAACGTAAAAAGATAAAATAGATTTTGAAGAAACGTTGGTGCAGTATAAATAAGTCATATACATGATTTTCTTTTTTAAAGAAACGGAAATCGAGTTCGTCTAATTATGTTTTTATTTTAACCAGTGTTCGACTGGAACGCCTGTTTCCTTATCAAATTCTTTTAATATATCGTTTTTATTTAGTAGTTTATGAAGTGAAGATTTATCCAACTGGGAATGTCTTGTCGATGGATAAAGCCATGTTTTTAAATCGTCTCGTCTGGCAATCAATTCTAAAACATGAGCAGCTGCTTGTACCATTTTTAAATAGCCAAATGGATTTATATTCTCCACAGTATCACAAGCTCTGTGATAGCATGGATCAGTGGGTGTACCAGGAACGCCTCCTTGTCCTCGACCCAGCATTTGATCATAACGATCGCGTTGCTCTTGTGGTTTTAGACCACCTGCGCCACTGAACAATCCACCCGAAACAATGCCAACTCTCAAAAATGGAACATAATCGCTGCCACCACCAAACGCCGTATAATCCCATGGCAATCGTTGACTAATGAACCAGTCACGAAATAATTCAGATACTTTGATACTACCGTTTATCGCTTGAGGTAATGTTGTCAAAGGATTTGTTCTGTTACCGTCATAAATACCAAAAAAAAAATTAGGAGAGCCTAACATATCATAGTTAAAATACATTAAATAATCTTCGAGTCGTTCGCCAACTATTGAGCTTAAACCTGCTTGTTCAACATGATAGTACGAACCTAAGAGGCCCACTTCTTCGGCACCCCACCAACAAAATCGAACACGATAAGGATAAGTTTCATATGTGGAAGTTTGAAACAGACGTGCTAAATTAGTGGCTAATACAAGATTAGCGACACTACCACTACCTAGAATGAATACAAAAAAAAATGCTCGTCAGCATAGACTCATACATACATAATTTTTTATTTTCCACTTCTACATCAAATTCTGTATTCGTGAAACGAAATCGATTTGTTAAACTTAGTCGAGTTTCAATATCACAGAATTATTTTCCACTGCGCTGGCTTTCTCTCAATAATCACTGTAATCGAATTCCTATAGGAAGAGGACATTTGCCTATTTGAGAAAGCATCGACTCGTTCAGATTTCTAGAGGTCACATGTTGGAGAAGTGCACTGTTTTACAAATCGCTAACACTTATCTTTCTTTATCAGCGTTCCATAGAGGCAGCCTCTTTATTCTCTCATGCGATCTTGAATTTCTTTTTGTATGAACAGGCCGTTTTGAGTTTAGTAGCACCCCTTTATATTAAAAATACTACTTTATCATCAAATTTTTGTAATTAATCTGTGAAGATTTCTTGCACAAATTTTGAAAAGAACATTCTTCTCTGGAAAAGAACTATTTATGCTTCGATGCACCTTAACTGATTTCGAGTACGGTATTTATATTAAGTAAAGTGAGTGTGAACTGAAAATGATTTTTCTCAAACATTTTGGTTTTCTGTATACTTTCTGCAGATATAAACAAGAGCAGAAGCTGTTTTTCCCATTAATACCGTAGGTGTGGACGAAGAAGAATGTCCGTATCTGTAACTTCTTAACTGTAACATCGACAGGCCCAGGCAGATCTAAACATTACGGGTCTGACGCAGACAGACCAGGCCTCAAAAGGGTCGGCCTGTTTCGAGCCCTGAACTGGATGTAGTTCGATCATAGCATATCGTGAAGAATTTAGAGGCGTCCGTCTCATTCTGTCTAGAAATGTTTCTTTTATTGGACTAGGTTGTTTGAGAAAAAGTTTTCTTTCGAACCCAAAGATATGGTCAGGGCTTTCAGTTTTTCCAAAGCCTAGTTTTTAGATCATCTGACAGAGTTTTCATGAAAACTGTTTCTCATTGCATACTCTTCCAGCTACTCAAATCACTTTCTAGACTTTTTTTGATTTATGATGGTTTACGAAAAAATCAAAGACAAAAGTCGACTGAACGATTATTTATTTGTGCTTCAACTCATTCTTTTGAAAGTGCGACTCATTTATACCTTTGCTGACATGGTCTCGCTCAGAAATTAAAGTTTTACACGAACGAGGAAGTGAAATAATCTGACAGGCAAAAACACGAAGTGTCATGCTTCACAACACACTTGTCTTCCTCGTCCTTATAGGAATTCCTAATTAATTATCAAGTGCTCATAGATAGATGTACTAAAACCATCTTTCTCAATCGCTCAATTATCAACACTTTTTAGCTTATACTTAGATTTTTAAACTAAAGTGACTACTTAAAGTCAAACACGATTGAAAAGACTTTTTCTCCTACCATTATCATTGATTCCACTCCCAGCAAGCACCCCATCACTATGGCTGCCAACGACAATTGTTTTTGTTGGATCACCTGACAGTGTATCCGCACATATATTGCCCACCGATCTTGCGCTAATATAAGCAACATTAATAACCACACTTGTATTTATCGATGTATTTTGTGCAGCATTTGCAGGAGCCAAACCAAGCGGATAAGATAAAAAGAGAGCTGGATAGGTCGTGTTCGATGGAACACTAGCACCTGTGATCGTTGCATAACGGTCACAATCTGCACCATCATTATAAATCATTAAACCAACAACGCCACTTTTAGCTGCGAAGTTGGCCACATCGACGAAATTACAACCGCGTTTTACAAGGGCTACAGTACCACTGGCTGCTAGCCAATTATCTTCGGCACAACCAATATCAGGAATGACTGTTACTCGAACTCCTGTTCCGAAATTAGCTGAACCAGAGTTCGTCATTAGTGTAAAGTTGGTCTGATACGTGTAATTGATCTGTTGATTATTCAAATAGGATATTAATATAGGATTACTTGCTAATCGACTAGTACTGACATTAAAATATTGCCTTTTTACTAGTAAATTGGTATTCTGAGTTAAGTATGTTGTTATATAATCCAACGTGTTATTGAATCCCGCTGTACCAATAGCTCGCGTGCCTCCGCCTAAATTAGCAATTTTTTGTAATTGATCTAAGTGTGTTGACATTTGATCGATGGTAATTGCATCAGCAAGTGTTTTCGGTGTAACTGTTGAATGGATTTCTGGTGCTGTGGTCGTTAGATCGATTTCTTTCGGATATCTTCGAACAACAATTCCTAACGTAGCAGCTGTCAAAGCAATGCCGGTTAAAGTAAACAGTAACATAATTCCAAATAGAATCAAAACTTTTTTGGGTTGAAGGAAAACCATATTCCTGTTACTTTGATTGCCATCAGCATCGCCATTTGAGAGTTTATTTTGTTGTATCATCATTATCTCCACTCTTTATCTAGTGGAATATCGACTAGAAAAAGATAATCTGCTCGACAAGTTAAGCATATCCGTAAGATATCAAAGGATCTAACAAGTGGTGAAAAGAAAATGGGTTACTTTTGCCTTTTGTTTTTCCTGATACCGAAACTGGTTAATTTTCTATTGTATAAGACTTTGTATATTCTACGACGCTTCGTTATTCAACAAAACAACGCAGAGCGACGGCAAACAAAAAGCATAAGCACGTTCGAAGGAACACGTTGCAATTTTTTTTGCTCTCAATCCAATTAATTGGTTATTTAATGATGTTTTCATGAACTATCCAACCACTGTGGGTAAAAGAAGATACTTATTTAATTATTCTTCACTAGAATATTTAAATTTTCCTAGCACTTCATTACTAATAACAGATGACCCCAAAATGTTCGATCACTTTATGACCAAGTTTTCATGTTTAACCATAAGTTAGATAATAATAAATGTTACCACCAGCGGCTAACTTGTTTTATACACTAACATTCTTATAGTTTTGATGACGTATGGATAGGTGGTTTAGTCTACAAGATAGCTCTCAGTGCGACGAACATTTCTATACGCGCATTCTTTTCTCTTAGTTCCCACATTAATTCGAAAAAGATTATCCAAAAGCTAAAAAGTCACTAAAATTTTGACTTCAGCTATGCATCTTACTTGATTTAATCAAACAGCAAGTGAATATGGAATATGACCATTGAAATGTAAAAAATTCTCTAACTTTCGAGTCTAGAATAGAGTCTTTATAAATCATTTTAATCTATTGCAATAATGGATTAGATTAAAAGGTGCTGACATACTTTAGTTAAATATAAAATGTACCTCTATGAAAAGGGATCAGCCACCTCTTCATAAATTGCTGATAGACAGAAATAGTTTGTAAGGTAACGTCGATATGACCAATCACACACCCGATATTAGCGCCATTACTGATGAACAGTAGAGCAATTCCTACCTTACTGTTGGCGGTTACAGTTCTTTGTGTTGCTTCAAGTTAACGGTGTGAAAAGTATGATCTTTGTTTTCTTCGTTGTTCATACATAAATTTTTAATCCCTTTGACTTTTATTGTATTTGCACTCAACAAGCAGGTGAATTTGATAAACGAACAACTGTTTGCATCACTTATAGTATTTTTATTCTTTAAGGACCCTAGAAAGCCATAAATCGGCTTACTATTATCTTTATTGATACAGTACTTGTCAAAAGTACCGGGGCGCCGGCGGGGGGGGGGGGGGGGCCGGGGGGGGGGGGGGGGGGGTGGGGGGGGGGG